TGTTTCGTCACCTATTACTATGTCGCATACCAAATTTGACGTCCCTTCGTTAAATCTGGTAAGCATGGCATTGCACTAAATGATGCGATCCGTTTTTTTGAGCCTCATTCAAATTTTGTTGGATCCACCGATAGCACAGCTTTTACACACCCAAATGTTTGTGTAGTATTGATTGCATTTGATTCATGCCTATGCCTAAAGATGCCCGAATCTCATGGTATGTCACATGCCTGTCTGTTTTGATCATACGGCGCACAGCATCGATGTTTTTGTTGTTCACAACAGTGGACGGGCGACCACCAAGAAATTCGTCACTGAGATTCACACGACCGCGTTTGAATACTGCAAACCAGCTATAAATAGTCGTCTTGCACTAGCCGACTTGCAATAGCCAAAAGCAGTTTGAAGCCAAGCGAAGCTCCGCTGAGCTGATTACACTTAAAGTCGTAGAAAATCATACCCCGAAAATTTTTCATGATTTAAATCCATGGTGATATAGCAAACAATTTCTAAAATGACATCATAATGTAAAAACGAGTGACTGTCAGATGAAACAAACTGTATTAAACAGCCGAAGAGTACCATATTCAAATGTTGTAATTACTTTTTAAATATTGTTTATGTAAGTGGCCAGTTCCGGAAACTTATAGTGCGCCCTATGTATAAACATTCATTCAATGTAAATATTGTCAATAACTAAAGGAATTGTTTTCCAAAAAATTTCGCCACGTAAATTAAAGAATATTTGTACAAATTTCCACAGCGATTTTCGAATAGTTTTAAGCAAACTTAAAAAAATTCATCATTAAAATTCAAAATACTTACTTACGTTTCAACAATTTAAACGATCTGACCGAAGCGACCTGGTATATTCATTTCCACCCATCCGTTTCCTGTGTGCAAAACAAGCCTCTTATCGACTATTACATCGACGTCGGATATATCAATTTCATATGTTTCCAATTTAAATAGGTTATACCTGGTAATACTCACCGCGAACGGCATAAATGTTAAAAGTCAGTGTTATTTCGTTATATTTGTTCAATATTCAGTATCCATCAAGTACAACGTTGGTGTTTTGTTTGGTATACTTCATAAGATTGAATTTATTTTGACTGTAAATGAACTGATGGTGTCTATCAATCTATTTCGTAGCAGTAGACCTCCTTTGAAAGGGTTCGTCCAGGGAAGTACTGCCACCTTAATTATTTTTGCCGCCAAGCAGTAATGTGAGCATTACTGCTTCCGGTTTGAGGGGTAAGGGTTCTGGTGAAATTACAGGCACATGGGATTTGTCAACTTGTCTCACAGTGAAAAGCGCGGTGGCAATGTTAATAATATTGATTAGTGTCATAAAAAAAGACGACCGCGTTGTTATAGAAACTTGCTGTCATAATTATTTGCTTATGCGGTTATCCAAAACGCCGAAACTCGGCACGTCGCATACTATTGATGTTCAAAAATCAATATTATGTATTCAATGGGCTCACATTTCGATGATGTCGTGTTCGCATAGACATATGAGGTAGACGCGAAGAAACTAATTCCATGATTTTTAGAAATGATGTATACTCTCTTACTGTAAAATAAGCTCATAGTCCTGTGACGTAAGTATTAACCTCTTGCCTACTCAGAGACCTTTTTTTAGAACATTTTTATGAAACTTTTAGGAACCTTTGTTGCTAATGTTATAGAAAGTATAAAATATTGAAAACAAAAATTTGTTCGAGAAAATCAGATTTTCATTTTGTCCTTATGTAGGACAACGTGTCTATATTAAGAAGATCTTTAAAAAGGATGTATGCGTATTGAATCTTTGTAAGTAACTAACAGTGTACTAATTAGCAATCGACAAGCAAGCGACAACGACAACGACAACGACAACGTCGTTGTTGAAACAAATGAAAATATTTATTGAGAATCTCCATAAATCTTTCGTTCCATCTTCGTTCAATCTTTCGTCTCCATAAATCGTTGCTAATGTTTATAGAAAGTATGGGAAAAATATTGAAAAAAAAATTTGTTCTAGAAAATCAGATTTTCATTTTGTCCTTATGTAGGACAACGTGTCTATATTAAGATCTTTAAAAAGGACATATGCGTTTTGAATGATGTTAAGTAACTAACGTTATACTTACGTTGAGAGTGAATAGGCATTATTTAGGTGTGCATGCTCCATCGTCGACCTCATCGTCACTTTCCATCAGGTGAGATGGAGGTCAAATGCGCACCTATATTTTATAAAAAAAAAAAAAATACTAATTAGCAATTAAGTAAAATGAATACTCACATTGAATGAAAAATTACAAATAAATTATCACAAACGTTGAATGACTCCGAGATTGAGTCTAGTGGTGACGTTTCCAATGACAATCCTGCATATAAGGCACCGGAATGCAATCGAACTAACTAAAAAACTAAAAATGTTGAGTCGAAAGCCATTCAGACGACAAAGCACAATTATATCGGAAGCAGTTGTGTCTGCCTCAGTGTTTTCTGATAATTCTAAAGTATTTGTGGTTCATCATCATTACCGTCGCTATAGACCGGAGTACTTCAAACACCCGTCCGCCTTCACTCCGATCGCAAGTCCTCAGTTGCCATAATACTAACGTCAAGCAAGATAGTTGGTCGAAAGACAAGTTTGAGCCGGAATTAAAATGTTTGCAACCAGACTATGTACTGATAAATACTACGGAATGGGAATAGTATAAATTCTATGAGCAGTAAGTATCTATATCTATGAAATATTCTTTCTGTTATTGTTCACTTTATAAAAAGAACAGAAATTTTGAAAATTGGAACATAAGGAAATATAATCCCTTCCGCATCATATCACTGAAGTTTATAAATATTTTTAATTACTCTCGCAAAACAATATTATAAGTTTGACTATATCGTCTGTATGTCTGTTACCGAGCGTACCTATACAACATCAAAACGTATTACTAGATACGAATTGAATTGGGTACGGTTAAATTCACCGGCGCAATCGCAGACCTTCAGCTCTCAATTCTGTTTGTAAATGTTCAAAGCGGCCGCAGCTCTCTCGCGTATTGCACAAGGGCAATGCTACGTCATTATCAAAAGGGGATTATCATGTCAACTATTATGAGGATTTTACGATGGCATATAAAAGCCTCGAGTTTTCACTTAAACAAAAATATTTACTATCATAATCATTATATCTCTGGTCATAATAGGAAGTCGATCAGGTACTAAGGACGTACGTATATAATGAGGCAAATCTATGGATATTTAAGTTTTCAAATTTTAATTAAGATGTCTTCAATTTAATTGTAGCTCTTATTACACTTACCTCAGTTCAAATATCCAAAGGATTCGATTGACGCTAGTGCTTGAGGCAAGATAAATATACAATAAAATACCGCCTGACATAAAAAAAGAAAGAAAATACAATTTGTTCTTTAAAAATTTAAGAAAATATTTAACGAATAAAAGCTATTATAAAATCGGAAACTATATAATAATTCAATAATGTAAAACTATTTCAACGATTACGCTCCAAGTGAACACAATGAATCAACCTATAAATTATTAATAATCAATTGATAATTTGTAATTTCTGACGAATTCATAATATTAATTAATATATTATATTCTCTGGACCTTCTCCACGACGTTTTTTGCTTTAGTTCTAAAACTATTCTGACATCAATTTATATTTTGACAGTTTTTGTTTACGCCTCTCAATATGTATTCTAAATTTTATTTTTATTTTGTTTCATTATAATATTTCCTTATATTTTATTCAATAACTTGACTTGTGGTGCCCTATTTAGGGTCATGTACTTAACTCTAGTTGTTATGTAATAACACATTTGTGACACATGACTATGTACATGTGACAATAAATAAATACAAATAATGTAATAGAAAGAACTCGTTATAAATCGTTTCTTTTTTAATCCTTGTTTTTAAAATGTTTGAACACTACGAAGAATGCAAGGACACAAGGCTGAAACAGCTTTGTGGGGACAAGTTTAGATTCACTGAAGGTGATTTGTGGTATAAATTGGTGCACAAATATCTGTGAACACCAATCTGGGAGCAGAATTTAATCAAAGGAAATGAATTGTATTCACGGCCAAATTAATTTTCGATCGTGGTCAGGGCAGAGAGTTGTTTTGGTTCGATCACGTTCAATTTAGTAAATTAAACGACGGTAACAGGCGTGTTATTTGTGTGAAACTTGTGTCTGATATTTAAGCTTCAACGTAAAAATATTTACTTTCAAAATTTTAATGGAGCGCGAACTTCTCAAGGGTAGCTCTGCAAATGAAACAAGTTTAGTTCATAGATTCCCAAACTTTTTTGTCTCGTAGACTATTTGCCATTTTTTCTGTTTTACGTAGATTTTCTGCCTTTCTAATATTAAATTTTTTTTAAAAGTCATCAATTTCAAATGTGTGTTTTGCAGCTGTCATAATTCTAGTGAGGAACTTTATAAAAAAATAATGTTAACTTTTATACATATATCTAATCGAATATCTGTTTATTGTGAAATGATTAAAAATTTCATAGGTAATTTATATATAATATTATATATTGATTATATATGTATATTTACGGAAAGTCAAAACTTTGGTCACAATCTGCCCAAATGGATTCCACTCCCGTGGATACCCATTAAGCACCCCCTATTTATTTTTCGCTGACTTGGACCCCTGTGGCTCGATATTGGTCACTTTGGAAATGGTCGGTCGAGTTATTATACAATAAATACGATACGATATTCAGCTATGGATTAAAAAAAAATAAGTTAAAACTTCGAAGTGTATATTTGCTATAAAGATGAACAGCGTCGGCTAAATGTGTGAACCTCGTTTCTCCATAAACAAAAAACTAAAAACTCCAAAATTGGAGTTACGAGGTTTCAAATTTAGCCAACGATAGTCATCTAAATTAGATAGTACTCAAGTCCTATTATAAAATGTGGCTGAAGTTACATGTTACGTAATTTCTGCTTTCTTTCACAGGGGAGCGGGCGGAGGAGGGATGTTTGGCGATGTCAATATATCAGCCATTTTGGATTCCCTAAGTGTTAGCTATGACAAGAGAGTGAGGCCAAATTATGGAGGTTAGTATGACCAATATTGCTGTCATTAATTTTTCTAATTTTACCTACTTTTTCTTATCCCGCTTAGCTTTTTGCAGTTTGTTAAAGAGCTTTGTATTAATCACAGGTTTGGGGATGACTTTACTTTATTATAGTCTGATAGTACATAAAGTAATCAAACCAAATTTTTCATTACTCATCTGACTGGTTATACATTTATCTATTCGATTAAACAAATTGACTACCAAAAACCATTGTTATCTAATTACGTCTTTTGTGAGATAAAATATCGTGAGACAAGTTTGGAAAATTAATGATTTTTACACGATTCGGAGCAACTAAGTGAATAGCTAAAATTTCCTGGGACAATGAGAAAAATTAAGTAACTTTCGAGGAAGTTGACGAAGACCTATTCTGTTTTGAAATGCAAAACACAAGGAGTTAAAAAATAAAAAATGTTGTTTTTATTATAAACTCCAATGGCGTTACCTGATTGACATCTTTATAGCTATAGGTATACTACCTACATGGTTGTGTCTCACTCGAGCAGCAATGGTCATCTCTCACGTCGCGAGTACATTGGGTGTACAAAATTTTTAAATATTTGAGACAAATGCACAATATTAGTTTAGAGGAAAGCCGAAAGTGATTATTATATCACAGGGCAGATTCAGGTAATGTAACCAATGTACTATTTCAGGACCGCCAGTGGATGTGGGAGTCACCATGTACGTGCTTTCCATCAGCTCCTTATCTGAAGTGAAAATGGTATTTAATACTGCAAAACTTTTACGTAGATGGTCACTTTAGAACGGGCAAAGCAGCTAGGTTAGCAACCCTCGGTCGAGCGACAAGCTAGCGTTTTTATGAAAGTCGTGAACGTTCAGTCTACGTTCGATCGAGGGAATTCCGGCGTCATGTCACCTGGTTTGGTTTTCACGGCGCGAGGCGCGCACGCGACTCACAATTGGGCTTGATTGCAGGTCCGCCAGTGGAGGTGGGCGTCACCATGTATGTGCTCTCTATCAGCTCCGTCTCCGAAGTGCTCATGGTACTCGCCCCTGTCAGCTCACGCTTGTCTCGGTCGCTCCGGTACACACTTGGCCGCGGCGACCGAGCAGCCCCAGACACGAGGCTGCGAGCATGCCGGCGTTATGGAGCCGACCACCCGGACGGCGACGCACCGCTTACTTTATTTTATTGTTTACGTATACGGGGTGTATTAGTTAAATGTGCCCAGACGATAATTCCGTAAATATAAGACATATCGAATCTTTAAAACTGATATAGAAAGTATGTTCCTTAATGAGGAAAACGCCATTAATAACTTTTTAGAAATAAAACCAGAAATTTCCGAAATGTTAACGTTAAACGGTCCCATATATTTAATATGGCATTCGTAAAGAGGCCTTAGTTTCCCTACCTTAGGAGGTAACAATAAGTTTACATGTAATAAAACTGCTATAAATAAATTAATAAAACTATTTTTTAATTAAATAAAAGCAAAGTAATGTTTATTTTCAAGTAAGTACAAATTATTGTATTCAAAGCAGTTGTTAGAAGTAGGGAAACTAAAGCCTCTGCGAATGTCATATTGAAGAGAAGACGCGATAGTTTTAGAATCCCGGAGAAATGTCCATAAATCATCAGTATGGGAGAGTTTAACGTTAAAATATTGAATATTTCTAGTTTTTTTAAATTTATTGATGTCGTTTTATTCATAAGGTAACGTACTTTCGATATTAGTTAAAAGGTTTTTGATATGTCTTTTATTTACGGAAGAATCACTTGGACACACTTAACGATTATACCATGTATAGTATTGCGCTAAAACGAGATCCGTTAGTATAGTGGTGTGCGCACCCGGGTGTGTCTCTAACTGACTAAAGACATACTAAAAATGTTCCTTGCTAATAAGCATCCCTCAAAGCAAGACTCTGTCATAAATTTGCTCCATTGTTGTATTTTGTTTTCAGCTTTTTATGTTCTTGAGTAGGTAATTGTTGTGTCTGTGGATTTTTTACTATACTTTCAAACACTCGTTTGACACTCCAGGTTGGTCACTCGTCTGAAATTTCTACTTTATAGTAATCTTGCTGTGAGTGTTCGTGTCTATTACCTTAAGAAACTTATGCAATGAGTTTCGGTTGAACATGAAAACGTATTAACTATCCACGATTTATTAAATAGCAAAGGACATAATACAAGTACGATTAGTCATGATTGACAACGACCAGTAATTTGCTATTTAAAATTTGTAGGTAGATTATATTTACTTACACTTCTAGGAACAGACACAAAAAGTGGAGACTACTTTACGACAACATTTTTTGTCTCGGATTTTTTCGGAATTTGGGAAATCATTTAAGTACATTAAAAATTGACGTTATTTGGGACACATCGGTAGAAGATAATATGTTACTCTAACTTTGTGACGAGTTGTTGCATCCATCAATTTTTCGTTAAAATTTTATTTGTTCTATGGTAAGAAAACGTATACTTAAAACGTAAACTAGTATTTATGTGGTCTGTGACCTAGGTGTATACGAAGAGTTGACGCGATAGTTTTAGAATCCCGGAGAAATGTCCATAAATCAATAGTATGTTTGAAGTCTTAATAATTCTAATTACATGTGTTAAATGGGAATTATTTTGTCGGAACTTTTCTAAATATTCAGAAAAATTCGTCGTTGCAACATCTCGTCGTAAAGTTTATATAAATATAAACTACCTACCTATTCCAATTAACGTCAATTTTTAATGTATTTAAGTGATTTCCCGAACTCCGAAAAAATCCGGGACAAAAAAATGTTGTCATAAGGTATTTTTCACTTTCTGTCTCTGTTGTAGAAGTTTAGGTAAATATACTTTACCTATTCCGATCACTGGTAATTAGTTACGAGTTACAAAATTTTAAAAGAGGTGGTGACGTCAGTAGTTTTGTACAGTTCACTAAGTAAACGAGAGTCGACCATGATCAGAGATTGTGTTAATCACCGAATACCCTTGATAAAGGTTCCAAAAGAGCTCTGTCGACTTAACACCAGGGTGTATGACCCCTAGTGGAAACCAAATCAAGGGGACTAATTAAAGTCACTTTAAGACGTGACTGATACCCGGAACTTATATATAGAAATTAGTATAATATACAAATGGAACATAGTACACGCACACGTGTTTTCGTATTAAATTTTACAAAAGTATAAAACTTTAAGAGCATATTCGAATCATGAATACTGTTAACATTCATAGTAAAGTCGTATTTATAAAAAAATCCTGTATCTATTTTCGAGACGTTGATTACAATGACTACAATATTACGAGCACGTGTAGGTGTATTACCGTTAATTAGGATATATCATGGAAGAAAAGACTCAACTAAGAAGACCTTATCTCATAAGCCAGTTGTCAATCAATAACCAATATGACCTGGTGACAAGAGGCTAGTTCTTCAAGCATGGGTAATCATATTTATTACAGCAACACTGCAATTAAACCAGTTCATGGGCAGTATTTGTAGTAACGCACACAAAAATGTCACTACTTTTCTTTGTGCCGCAGTTTTTATATTCTTTTTATCGTATCGATGACATGCATTATATGTATATATATATATAATATTATATATTATAGTATATATACGTTTTGATAGTGGTGAAAAGGTTTGCCATTCGGTGTGAGGTACTCGCCGATTGTTGTCCAGGGTACCCCAGACTTACGGGAAAGGAATGGTACGTCTTGCGGGGAGGCTCCTTTCGTACACCCAAGTGTTTATATTGATTCAATATAAAATGTTCTTTGATAAGATTTAAATCATAGTTTCCCAAAGTGGTCACTACCGCCACACAGCGGGCGCTGAAGAGTCCTAGGGGGACTGGACGCAATTGGGGGGCGTTGATGATGTCCAGGGTGTGCTACCGCACTTTTTTTTAATAAACATGAATTTAGACAATTCATGTTATAAACTACAAAACATATACATAATTTTTTCGTTGTGATTTTTTGTGTTAAGTTAATATAAAAAATTCGCGTTTTCAATAATTTTTTGTGGTGGAGGGTGTTGAAATTTTTTACCTTGCCTAAGTGGGAGGTGAGCCGAAATGTTTGGGAACCTATAGTTTAAATATTCATTATTTTATTGGTTTTATGTTTTACAAATGATACAATTTTCACTCAATGTTTTATTTTACCATATATTTTCAAATATTTTATTTAATTAACCTGAATATATATATATATATATATATATATATATATATAATTTTTAACTTTTATTTTTATTATTACTATTTTACAGTGACACTTTATTTCGTTGATTTATTTTACTTGATGAAATGTTCAATGTAAATCATTGATTTTGTCAGTTGTTGATATTTCTCTATGAAGAAGTAGTAAGTGCCAAATATACAAAAAGCAGTTGGAAAGCACACTGTCAAGCCCGTTGGTTTTTTGAGATCCATAATAGCGAAACGGTGTAAATTAAATATTTAACTTTACGGTAAACGCCGTTACTGCCTATGAATGGGTTAAGTTAATAATATTTTACAAACCTGTCTGGAAAACATAGACTCGCCATCACTTGGGCACATTTTTACGCAAAAGTAACAGCACTTACGTTCTGAAACACGTATGAGAAAACTTTGAAGGACAAACCAAACACGTACGTCATTCCTGAGCACATTTTTTGAAATTTTAGTAACCCAACTTATTTGAAAACGTGATTGTATTACTCATGATATAGAATAACTTTTGCTTATGAAAAAACGGTATCCAATAACTTCCCACATGAATGAAATCGTGCTTACCACACCATACAGACTACGGGTAAGCAATATTTTTTTGCAAACTGCAAAAGTCATTCTGATTCAACTTAACACCCCGTAGCCTAAAATCGGGTTAATAAAATTTCATCTTAATGAGTTAATTAATAGGTGTCATCGTGTCTTGGGATACAGAAGTGTCCATGAAACTAAACAATTTTGGCCTAAAATTAAAAATAAAATTTGAAAAAATAATTATTCGACGTTCTGTACATTTTATGTACGACATACTTGCTTGGATAGTGGATTTTTGTTTCAAATAAAAATTTAATTAACGGTCTAAGTTCTTTTGTTTCGAGAACATTTCATACTCCAAAATAAGTTTTAATACACCTTTTAGTTTCATTTACTATAATGGTTTTAAACACAATAGTGTGGTTATTGATTGGCTTCTTAATTAAATAACTTACTACATTACCTATGCAATAACAACGATTATTCTAAAGGGTCCAAAAAAATATATAATATAAAATTTATTGGCTTACTTATATAGTAAATAGGTAAGAAAACTACTCCGCGCGGTTGAGTTTATTATAATAGTTGTAGGTTCGGCGCTCACTGACAGGACACCACGGCAGGGGATTTATTTATTTTTATGTGACGAATAGTGATATACCTTAATGTTATGACATTGTGTTGAAATTTCAATGATAATGGTTGTAGCTACGCAAACAAAGCTGTGGCATGCTTAGGGATACCAAGCCGACATCTGCCGGAACTCCTCGACCACCTTTGGGATACTTCGGCAGGCTTTTATATTTAATTTTACGACTTATCTGAATAGACTCTAGGCGCGAGCACGATCTCGCAACAGTATGCTTCGGAATGCCTAAGGATACCGCTGCATATCAGTGTGACCCCTTGCCGTATTTCCCGCCAATGGGCGCCGTCCCTTACAGTTCAATCACGTGTTAATTCAGAGTAATTTTTACAATGACATTAATGTTTCAGGATTTCACTTTGGACTTCTACTTTAGACAGTTTTGGACAGATCCCAGGTTAGCTTATAAAAAGAGACCTGGAGTTGAAACACTTTCTGTGGGGTCGGAATTCATTAGGAACATATGGGTACCCGACACGTTCTTTGTAAATGAGAAACAGTCTTATTTCCACATCGCTACTACGAGCAACGAGTTCATACGAATTCATCATTCAGGATCTATTACACGAAGTATAAGGTACTTAAAGAGTATTTTCTTTTACGAAACAGACTTATTATATAGTTGAATATTTAAATCAACATTCATAGTTTTTTTTTAACACACTAGGTAAACCCTTCATAGCCCCGCACTAGGAAAATCCTGTATCGCGGGTGCCATGGACACACACATACTATAACCACAAATTACACCCAAACTCACGATAGAAACAGATGTAACCCTTACAAATATTTTTCCGGACTCGGAAATGGAATCCGAGACTTCTGCGTGGCAGTCCGTGGTAACCATTTGGCCACGGAGGCAGTTTTATTAATTACAAGGCAACAATATTAAAGAAATACAATATTTAATAACAATAACAACAGCAACAACGCACACACTCAACATAGCCCCGCATTAGGGAAACCCTGTGTCGCCGGTGCCATGGACGCACACATAGACAACCACAAATTACACCCAAGCTCACGACAGAAACAGATGTAGGCCTTACAAATATTTTTCCCGACTCGGGAATGGAATCCGAGACCTCTGCGTGGCAGTCCGTGGTAACCATTCGGCCACGGAGGCAGTTTTATTAATTATAAAGCAATAATGTCATAGAAATACAATAATATTGTATGAAACCAATTAATATAGTCTCGTTTATAAACGGATAATTAGGCAATTATTAATGTATAAATAAAAACAATCACATTATTCGCAATAAGATTCAGTCGATATATTTTTTTTCATTTTCAAATAGTTTTTCTTATTTCCACAATTTTTAGTTACGACACTAATGTTACACTTGTTAATTCTGTTTTACAGACTGACTATCACTGCTTCTTGTCCTATGGATTTACAATATTTCCCGATGGATCGTCAATTATGTAATATTGAAATCGAAAGTTGTGAGTAAAATACCATTATTTCTTTTCAAAGGCTCTGTTGTAGTTAAGTAATAATTTAAATGATTTTAAATGATATTTTTCATAACACCTCTACGTGGTGTATACGTACTTCCTAAAATTACAAACGCTGTTTTATTACAGAAGTGGTATACAGAAATGGGTTCATTTGAAATCATCGTTACAGACCACGCTTTTATACTCGTAGCTAATAGAATTGACAATACCTACAATGTATTGCAAAAAGTCTTGATCGTAGTTCATGTACATTAAATAATATTTTTTTCTTTACGAATGTACTTATTCGAAAACCCAGTATGATGGAAGTATTACTTTATCTTTACGTATCTCTGCATGGTACAGTCGGCTACACCATGAGGGACATCCGATACAAGTGGAATGAAGGCCCTAACTCTGTGGGCGTGTCGAGTGAGGTGTCGCTGCCGCAGTTCAAGGTGCTCGGCCATCGCCAGCGAGCTATGGAGATATCTCTTACCACAGGTACCAAGCACGTTGATAGACCGCTTGACGACCCTGCAACTAAAAATAATTACTTTGTGTACATATTAAAATGTAGATGGTAATTCATGCATGTTATTCGTCACATCAACTTTTTGCTATAATATTTCATTGTGTATGTTATTATTCATAGAACATTTACGAAATTGTACTTAAAAGACTACGAAATTAAGCAGTATCTAATAAAAACAATTCGTTACAGGAAATTACTCAAGATTAGCGTGTGAAATTCAATTCGTCCGTTCAATGGGATATTATCTGATCCAAATATACATCCCGTCTGGTCTGATCGTCATTATTTCGTGGGTATCTTTCTGGCTTAATCGAAATGCGACTCCTGCTCGAGTCTCTTTGGGTGTTACCACCGTGTTGACGATGACCACGCTCATGTCCTCCACAAACGCTGCTCTGCCGAAGATCTCTTACGTAAAGTCTATCGACGTCTATCTCGGTACCTGCTTCGTGATGGTCTTCGCCAGTCTTCTAGGTAACAGAGTAAACATGGAGTTCCTGATCAATTATTAAAATTTACATTTATAATTTTATTAATTATTTATTGCACGTTTATAAATTCAACATCGGTTTACGAAATTAAAATTTAAGTAAATTAAGCACTCCATTCGAAACATTCCACTGAATTGAAATATTGAAATTTATTTTACATCAGATGTAAACCTCGTGGCGTCGCTTTTTAACACGTATCAACAGAAAATAATTGTAATCATACTGTGCTCCGAGAAATTGGTACACGTTTTTTATTTCGCTGTATGTTGAATATGTAATGTCCTCTTTGATTTACTTGCTTGGCGATGATTTTTTTTCGAAACCCTTTGTTTGACTATATCATTTTATTACAGAATACGCGACAGTCGGCTATATGGCAAAAAGGATACAAATGAGGAAACAAAGATTTACTGCTGTGCAAAAAATGGCTGCTGAGAAGAAAATGCAAATAGATGGCCCCCCGCCAGGAACATCTGAGCCCATGCCACCTCCGCGGACAAGTACACTTCCGAGACCGCCGCCACCAAGTCGATCTTCGGTTAGTACTAATTTACAATACGCATAAGTGTCCTACATATAATCTTCATTTTTATCACATTTACAAAAATACTTTATTATCAAACTTTCGCTATCTAATTTGTACAACAGGAAGTTCGATTCAAAGTTCACGATCCCAAAGCATACTCCAAAGGTGGCACTTTGGAAAACACAATAAATGGCGCTCGAGGTCCACCTGTCCCCCCTGGTCCTCCACCAGATGAAGAAGCTGGTGGACCACCTATCATCATTCCAGCTTCAAAGGTATGTACATGAAGTCACCTCAATTAATTCCGACTGGAATTTTCGTATAATGCCTTTAGCGAATGTTGTGTGTCGCGTAGCGAAAGTAAGTAAAGGCCACAGGCGAATTAATTGTATTGTGCTTAGTGCTGTGATTGGAGACGACGTCTGAAGTCATGATATGAAGTAAGTAACTATTTGCAGGGCATCAACAAACTACTCGGCACCACACCATCAGATATCGACAAGTATTCACGCATCGTGTTCCCAGTGTGTTTCGTCTGTTTTAACCTCATGTATTGGATCATTTACCTCCACGTATCAGATGTCGTGGCAGACGATTTGGTATTACTTGGCGAAGAAAACTGAATGGCTCTATGTTAATTTTAAACTAAATGCTCGATATTAGCATTTACTAAATTTTAGGGTGCTCACTGTCGAACCTCCATTATAATTATCTAAAAAGCTTTTTGAATTTAGAAACTTGCAATAATCCTTTATATCTCAGCACATATTGCTAAAGAAACATAATATATCTCATAAAAGTACATTTTGTAATTTAAGTTCTAAAATCTTCCTAGTTCAGAATAACTAAATAAAATCATTTAGCGGCATTACGAGGATGACGGAAATTAAAAAAAAAAGTGTTTTTTAGGTTTAAGTTAGGTGTACAAAGTTTTGTTAGCGCACCTGTAATAGACATTTTAAACTATAGAGCCCCTGTTATTAGCACAGAGATCTTTTAAGGGTCGCCGGCTAATTAAGAATCTTCCTTAAACTGGTTAAGGTAGTGCATTTCTTATATTTTTTATCGTCCTATTAACTAGGTTCTATTTCCGCAACTCAAATGATCTAATAATTGTGCCCAGTAAGTGAATAAAAAACTAAGTAGGTAACTAAAATTGAGAAATTAGTAACGCGGCAAATTACCAACGTGAAATAGAAAGAAAAATGGAAGAAACTAAAATAATGATCCTGCAACAAATTAATACGGTTCAGGTTCCATAATTAATATCAGTTTTATACCAAGTATGATATATAGTTTATATGTATATAGACAACCTTTTATTTAATAAAATTTCTACTTTGTTATGAATACGAATAACCACTTGTGCCCTTAAACTGACAGCAACAATAACTAACAACGGCTAAATAATGCGTGAAAATAACGATAATTCAGATTGATGTGTTGTAGTTAAATCGTAGAAAAACTTATTAAGGTAGAATAAAGATATATACAATAAATAAGCAAAATCCGAATTCATCAAAGTTACAGTATTACAAGGATTCTTTCGCACATTTCTTTAAACATCTCGAATAGTGCCCCTTTACATAAAAAAATCCAAATTAGAAGCCAAAATCCAATTAATTACTTCCGTTTTCCTCTTAAGTACTAATTCTGTTTGGTACGCAATTAGATTACGAAACATTTTACTGAAATTTTGTATCTAGGTGTAATAATAAGTTCCTTTTTTATTACGAGTTGTTCGTAAAATTTCTCTGTTAGTACAAAAACTCGATTTGTTAATATTTTGATGTTATGTACATCCGTGGGTTACATAATAGGGAATAAGCATGTGAATACTTTTTATTTATAAACTAATAGGTATTGAAAACCACAAAATAAATATATTAATATAATAAAATATTATGTTTAAAAAATTGACTGTTATAAAATTTGGTGGCAACTCTAGTTAACCCCATTCCATTGTCAATTTGTTATCGAACGAAATGTAGCAGACAGACGGAAACGCGTGTGATCTTATCACAGTAAATAGTTATTTCAATACTATAATTTTTCTGAAATTACAGGCACATGGGACTTGTCAACTTATATATCAGGTTGAAGGGCGAAGTGCCAGTGCCTATGCGATTTAAAGCTCCGAGTGGCACTGCAACTGTTATGAACAGGAGTGTCGCTTATCTCCAAGCCCACGACTTGTTCGTCCCGCCACTTAGTATAACAATATATTTTGTAGACATTAACAAGATATACTTTTTTACATAACAAATTTGTGAGTGAGCATTTGACTGATAGCAGAGGCTGACGATATACTCTCGCTTTGAAAAAGCCCAAGTTAGACCATTCAGGGAACAAGTCTGCAGGGAAGGAATTCCAATTCGTTCTCCATATAAATGTGGAACCGAAACGCTACTAATCCTTAGAATATCCACAACATAGAGGTGGAACCCTGGCATGCGTCTAGTCCCTCGATGATGGAAAGGGGAAGGCGTCTATGTAAAAGGTCTGTCAAATTTTTGTTCATAATATAATCTCAACAGGAAAGGTCAGAGTTGAACATATGCGATGCCTGCGAACTCTGTATTTTCAAATGCTTTAGTGAATAAATGTATGTGTATAAGTATTCACTAACGTACAAATACAAATTATGTATGCATATATTTCTTTAGATGAATAATAAAAAAAAAAATTAATTAAAATCTTCCGAAACACATGCCTATTCCCTGTGATTATCTACGACGTTATTGTACTTTATGTTAATGTTACTTTTTATCCCTTTGTTACTTTGTAAACTTGTATTGAATTTTATGTCATTAAGTACCATGGTGATTTAATAAATCCTAGGTAGGTATGTGATTTTTAAATCTTCAAATAATCGATTGGCAGCATTTATTGTGGTTTTTAGAAACCAATACGATATACTGTGGTTATTAAGGATATTAAAATGTAAATATTGATTTATTAGGTTTAAAATTTTAAGAATTCGCAGCCTTGGTGTAAATAAGGCCACATATGTAAAAAGATAACTTTTAAGGAGATAGTTTTAAAAATTCTACTAACGAGATTAGTCGGTAATTTAAATAAAAGAATAATCGAATTTACGGAATAACATATTCGTTCGTCATTGACCTACCAACAAACGTACATAATTTGTTACATGAACGGTACGAGTAGTACGCATTATTTTTATGACTTTTAATGTGATAAAAACACGTTTGATGTATGATCACATGTGGTTTTACTATACCAGGGGTACGAATTTAATTCTGAAAAGATTCTGTTCCTCTGCATACCAATATACACCGGTTATACACTTCAATATTGATTCTAGTGCACAGAACACTTTTTCTACGTAGTTATAACTTTTTTGTGAATTATTACATTAAGAAAACGCGTTAGACAAAAGTTATTTTTATAAAACTAAAAGTTTTAAGTTGTCATCAACTCAGACTTGTTTAATGCTTAAAGTATATTTTTGTTTTAAAAAAATATAATAAATTTAATGGAACCTACACGCGTTTGAGGATCTATATACACCGTATATATAGACAGTGATAATCTAATATTACAGTTATATTTTATTTACCAACACCTTATATGTATGTAGGTACCTATATTGAAAGTTCAATAAATTAGGTCTCGGGAAAGTAAGCTACGAACGTGATTCAACTTGAGGATCACTAATGTAGAGAGTTGTGACTTCTGACTATGGTCAAGAAAAATAGAATTTATAGTAATGAAGATAGTTTTAACTAGACAAATCTAAATGATCCGATTTGTTCGTTATTACAACTTCTAGTGGCTTGTAGCATTTTATGACCAACCAATAAATACATAAGTCAATTCCTAAGTAGGTATAATATTTTGCCATTCGCAAAAAAAGGTTGAAGTGTTAAATTTCCTACTCGAATGCAATGACTTCAGATTGCATTTGTTGGAATTTACCAATACGAACATATTATTTAATTATATGTGATTAATTTAGTAATATGAGAAACGAATACGGATCAGTATCTCTGTAATAGTAATTTATGAAATAAAAATACTTTCAAACGACGTGTTGAGTATGAAGTCAGATTTCGTACACATATCGTTTTGGTTCATGGCTGCTTTTTAAATCCTGGAATCTTCTCATAAATTCGAGCCAACATTCCTTCTTGGGATAAAATATATAACAGGTGCAACATTTAGTTCCAAGTCACTTTAACGGGATGTTCTTACTTTCTGAATTTGCTCAATGTTATTTAAAAGTGTTATTGTACTGAGGCAGTGACGAGAATTAAGACGTCTATGAATTGTAATAATTAATTAGATTAGGTAGGTATATGTATATCACAATATGATAGCACTATTTGCCTCCTACTATGAACATACTGGGATTGCATCTAAGGCTATTTAACATACTTTAAAATTGTTATTTACACTATTGTTTTTGTATAATAATTTCATGTGCAAGCGACAGCAAAGAAATATCTATGATAATAACGAGTGACTTGAAGTTTTTTTGCGGCAAAATTTTCATAAAGACTGACTCCGTAATTCTTCGGTTTCGTGGTTTTTCACGTCTGGTCTTCTCTAGTTTAGTAATGCTAATAATTACTTACTTATATTAATTTTAGAAAATTTAAAGGCACCTTCTAGTCCCGATCAAGTCATTGTAACTTCCAAGTTAAGCATGCATAGAGTAAATCAAAATGTGAGAGATCTGTAAGCCAATGAATTTAATACTGATAAAATTATCCACAATTTGTTGTTGTAGCGAAGATGTTAAGTTTTTATATTACTTAGTGGAAAAATAAAGTATTGTTATATAACGACTAGTAGTAACAATCAGCCAAATCGATAAGTGTAACTCTAACGATAATTTACTATACAAACTTCTAAAGAACTACATAGGTATAAATAAATGTACATTATGAAAAATATTTAAGACGTGAATTCGCATTATATTGCACCTAGTATGTAAGAAAGTAGCGTAGCTAAGCCCGCGGAGAAATGGGCGAGACGGATCGTGGGATATGCTCTTGAAATTTTTACGTACTGACAAGGATTGTTAGGTCCACTGTCTACCAAAATGGAGCGTTAAAAGAGCTTTGTTTCAGAAATAGTATTTTGATTGCTTGAAGTCTTCACATCGCGTGTTTAAAAAGACGAAAAATATACTCTTTATTGTAGAAACAGAACTCTTCTTCGCTCTTCTTCGCTCCGCTTTGGAACGTAATGCACCTTATTGTATCGGAGTGCCATTGGCCATGGCGTGTGATTTTGAGTTTTGCTAAGAGAACATTGGTTATCAATACACTAGTTTGTGAACACTATAATACGATACACTCGTCTCGCCTAGACGCTTCAAGTGCGAAACCAAATTCTAAATCACATAAAATAAAACTTAGTATAAACAAATTATATAATGCGAATAAAACTTAGAGAATTAAGATAATTAATATAATTATCAGATGAAATTCGGTGAGAATTTAATATCACATTTTCAAAATTAGGGTCGGTCATTATAAACACAGATAAAATAGTTTGTTGCACTTACCAAGCTAATAAAATTAATATACAGTGCAAAGTAGAAGCAAGTGACTGTAAGTGTTCAAAAATATACCTCAACAAATTGTATATTTTAGGTATTTAAACGGGAATATATTACGATAATTAAGACACGCGTACCTAATGAACTAACTATAACGAAGAGCAATAACAAATTGATCACATACCGTCACTTGCCGGATTATACCGAAGTACTTTTTATATTTGTCTTTAACATTGTTAATATAACAAAGATAATGAT